AATTCTCATGATTATTTACACTCGACCATCAGCTAAGGCCCTTGTTTTTATCGCTTCTTACATAATCCTGTCATGATTTGCCAATCATCCATCTTTTATCATAAAATATATTAAGTCAATTATGAGTAAATTTTTATATTTTTTTTAAAAAAAATGGTCCCTTCTGCAGTATATATGTAAAATTCAGGATAAAATCTGAGAAAAAAGGGCTGTTGTTTTCTTGGTAAACCCACATCGAAGTGGGAGGTCATTCATTTCTTAGCCAGTCTTTTAATTTTTGAGGGTGGGGTGGTTGTAGTTGTGTCCCAAAAAAATATATATATAAATATAATTAAATAATTTCAAATTAAAAATTAAATAAAATTTATTTAAAATAGCAGTATCTTTGTCTGAAAAACAAACATGCTTGCAAAATTTCATGGTGTCCAACTAATTTTCATGGAATTACAAATATTCAATTTCAGCACTTGTCCTTTTCTTTGGCCCTTCTTTAGGCTCCCACAGCGGCAAAATTGTAATTAACTTTAACATTAAGATATAATTCCAGAAATTTTTACTTTTGAGTACTTAAGTTCATGTCTTCCTTACTAAAAATGTTATTTGGAGATTTTCTATGAAAGGTTTCAATCTTGATTGTACATGTTTTTTTCTGGTTGGAAGTTTACTCAAACTTTGACGGTTAATTTTTTCCAATATACTCGTATCGCATTGACAATAATGGAATAAAAACTGTATGAAATTACTAGTACAAGTTAATAATATTTTTAAAAATTAGATGAAAATAATTCGCAATATAATCATCACATACACGGGTGACTTACATTGTCAAAATTTCAATATTTACAAGTACCTTATGTTTTTGGATATCATTCTACGGAGTATTCTTGAACATAAATTTCAAAATTCATACATATTACTTGTGTTTAGTGACTGACGTTGTCTCCAATTTGAGTTACTTGTGATTAATGACTTATATTGTCTCCAACCAATTAATTCCCGATGATCAACAACTCTAAAGTAAAGTTGACTTATAGTACTTATTATGAGGCGTTAAAAGTAACTTTTTTTTTTATAAACTAAAGTATGAACTACTAGTAAGAAAATTGACACTTTTATTTTGTTTAAATTATAGTTATACCGTCTCATACAAGATACAAAAACTACCCTTGCGTACATATAATATGATTAGTATTCCCTAGTATTTCAACAATAATTTGCAAGAACAAAATTTCAAAAGAATAGAGTACTCCTAGTATGATTTAAATGCTAGGACCAGCATGCTTCCTCCTGTAGACGTCCCACTGAAGGGTGCAATACAGAATGGGTTCATTATCAAAAAAAGATAACTTAGCTTGTTTATATCCAAACATACCAAGATCTTCTTGTTTAATTTGTTTCTGAATATCACATCGTATTCAAATTCAATTTTCATTGATAAATACAAATTCGAAAAGTAAGATTGCAGAAGCACTCCTATAAAATGGTTACATGCTTTTTGGCATTACATTAATTTTTTCCATTCCCTTGATAATTGCCTTGTTTTTATGACCTTGATGATTGATTGTTTAACGTTACATTAAATGGTAACATCTTAGAATTATACTACGGAATAATACAATTACATTTGGTCTAATAGAACGTACCTATAAACTTTTTTATTCATGCACTAGTGAAAGTTATGTGAATTGTGTACATCGAGTTGGTTAATGATGTTTTTTTTTTTTTTTACAAATTATCAATTCAATGAATAATCATGAGTTCGCATACTCTTTCAAACAATCAATTTTAAGTAAGAGTTTAGTGGTAAAATCAATCACAAATCATTACATGCCCTACAACTTCTTCAAATTAAACATCTTTGAATAGGACATAAGCAACTATTGTTTTCAACATGTGTATTTCCAACAATTTTTTATATGCCATCATAGAATGTATGAGATAAGTTTTATTTTCAAACCTAATAAATAAGTGAGAACCATTCATTAGCCACTAAAAAGACATTTTTATTCTTAGCTTATTTTGTTGGACTACTTAAATTCACTTATTTTTGGCTAAGCTGAACTCTTTTTTTTTTTTTTTTTTTTTTTTTTTACCTCTCGTCGATATTATATCAAATCATTCAAACAAGGTGAACAGAACATAATAGCGAAAAACGTTATTAAACTTATTCATTCAAAGGCTAATGAGAAACTAAAACTGTTAACATATCCATTCAAAGGCTAAAGAGTAGCTCTGATTTCAAGCAGATTGACTTCATGGTTGTTAGTTGTTAGACTTGTTACACCATGTAACATAAAATGTGTAAAAAGTAGAGTATAAATATATAAATAGTGACAACATATATATAAATAAAAATGTAAGTTTTGTGTGGTTTTGAGTCAAAAGGATGAGAGTGTTGCACAAAGTTGGTAAAGAAATGTCAGAAAGCTTTAATAAAAACCAAATGTATAGAAACTGTAAAAAATACTCACTCTCACTATAAATGTGTTTAGTTCAGATCAATTCAGAATGTTATTGTAATGTTTATGCTGTTGTTGCTTTATTTCTTCCATATTTTATAGGCTCTCTTTGTTGCTGTTACTTATCAGACCACTAGATCAGCTGGTCCATTTTTCTCCTCTTTTCTTTTAATTTTTGTCATTTTTAGCTTTACAGCTGTAATCATAAAAAATAGTGATTTCTCTGAAATGTTTTTCATGCAATGCAACTCTTTATAGTTTATATACTATACTACTAGTCCATATGGATTTGACAAGTTAATTTGTTCTTGTCTACTTTGTAAAGCTAATGTATATTGTATAGTAAGCTAATCTAGCTTGATATTAATGTTGATAGATTGATCATTATATGATAATGATTTATATAGTAGTAATTATAATTACAAAGGTATATAAAGACATACTTCCTCCGTTTCTTTTTACTTGACCCACTTTGACTTTTACACTATTCATCACCCCTTCTTTGACCGCTTATTGTGAATTATGTGTAAGGAAAAAAATATTTATGTGGAATCTTGTTAAAATCGTCTCAATAAATACTCTCACAATGTATATGAATTTTATAATTTTTACTTGTGAAAAACTATAATTATTGATGGTTAAAGTTTTACATTGACAAATGTGATAAATAAAACAGGTCAATTAAAAAAGAACGGAGAAAGTATAAGTCAAGCCTATTATTCATCGCGACATTCCTGATATGGACATCCTATTCAGCTAATGTGTTAGAGATTAATATAACGTGTGGCATCTACTCGTAGCATTCAACAGTTCAACAAGGGTGTTGCTCAGGTCTAAGAAATATGATCCAATTTGAAATTTAAAAATTGTGACTTTTGAAACACTAGGTGTCTTATTTTTCAAATTAACTCTACTTATTTTTAAAATCAAGGAAATAACTTTCTAAACTTTACCTCCTAGAGTCAATTGTTTGTTCTTTTGGCCATTAAAACTAATATACATATACTTCTTATAATTTAAGCTATTAAACTTATTTTTAATCAATTATCTTATTAAACCGTACACATTTCTATACTGAATCACATGTTTGTTACTACATTATCTCTTATAAGCTCGAAAATTGTATACCACATACATATACTGACCATTGTATATCTTATTGACAAAAAAAAAACATTCAAACCCTAGTAATATACCAGAAGAGACCAATTCAAAGCACTAATTATAAACAAAGAGACACAAAACCATCTAATATTAGAAAGAGTTAAAAAGGGATTACCCATCATACTACCTCCGTTTTTTTTTTTAGTTGACACGTTTTGACTTTAGCACTATTCACACACTTCCCTTTAACCCTGTTTTGTGCTTTATACGTAATGAAAAATATAGTCATGTGGGATCTTGTTAGATTTGTCATGATATATATTTTCAAAATATCAAATTTTCATAATTTTTGCTTATTTAGTAATTAAAGATATAAATGATTGAAGTTGTGCATTGACAAAAACGACTAAAGAAACATGTCAACTAAAAAGAAACAGAGAAAGTATTATTCTATAATAATAGAAGTGGGGACTAGCCGGCTTGACCTCAATTTTGTTTGTCTTAATTTATTTATTTTTATGGGGAAGAATTGAAAAAACAGAACCAAAATAATATAAATTGTCCTATAAATCATGATCTCCAGCATGCACCTATTTTCACTTACCCAACCTTAAAAGTAGGGAACAAAGTAGTAGGAATACACTCTCTCTCCTCCACAATCAAAGATTTTGTCCCCTAAATAATTCAATTTTACACTTCAACACTATTGACCTTTTTGCTTTTTCATGGATTGGTGACTCCTCTATCTATGGACTCCAATACTCCATCTCATATGATCAGCTCATATAATATGTACACAGGGGCGGACTCAATTAAGTGACATAGGGGGACAGCTGTCCCCCCAATTTAAAAAAAAAATTAAAAAAAAAAAAAAAAAAAAGCAAAACAAATCGCACAGCGCTGCTCCATTTCAATCTTCACTCCAATTCGCCATTACCACTACTCCACTAGTCCACTGCGTCGCTGCTCCACCATTCCACCAACCGGCGACCGTCGAGGCTTCGTGCGTGCGTGGTGCGTCGCTGCTCCTGTGCGGCTGTGCTCCATCTTCAGTCTTCGCTGCAGGCGCGTGCGTGAGTGCGTCAGGCGTCACTGGCTCACTGCTCCACCGACCACCGCCTGTCCGCCTTGGCCCCTGGGTTCCTCACCACTCGCTGAGTCGCTGCTAAACTTATGGTATGTCTTGCTAAGTTGCTAACCCTAATTCGAATTTCGAAATTCCCAATTTGTTAATTTGAAATCCCCAATTCACCAATTGTTAACCCTAATTTCCAGATTTTTGTTGAATTATTTTAATTTTAATTGCAATATTTGTTGAATTTTAATTTTAATTGCAATTTTAATGTTAGGTTTTATAGTATGCATTTATGCAATGATGTGAATTGTGGAAATTCCGAAATTGAATAATTGATATATATTTTTTAATGTAATTAGGAAATGTCAAATGATTCACCTAATTCAAACAAATCCAAGGCTACTAGAAAACAACCCGATCTTCGACAATTCTTGTCTAAAAGAAAGAAACTCCATGAAAATGAGTCCAATAACTCCCCTTCATTAAGCCCCCCTCAAAGTCAAGAAGATGATATGGAAATGGGTGGTTCAAGTACTTGTAATGTACCATTGGAGGAAAATTTGTTATACGATGTTGAACTTCTTCCTCATGATCCGGGAAAAAGAATAAACATAATGGATTACCCCGCAAATGAACGAAATGCAGTTAGGAGGGGTTATATTCTTAAAAAACCTTGCCAACCAAAAACTCATGACTTTCCTCAAAGACAAGTGTCTGGTTTACGTCGCTTTAGTGTTCATTGGTTCAAGAAATGGGATTGGCTTGAGTATAGTATTGAAAAAGATGCTACATTTTGTTTTGTATGTTACTTGTTCAAGAATGAAGTTGATAGTTATTCGGGGGGTGATGCATTTGTTGATGGAGGGTTTAGGGCATGGAATAAACCGGAAAGATTTGAGAAGCATGTTGGTGGAATTAACAGTGCTCATAATCTTGCTTATGAGAAATATGTGAATTTAAGAGATGGAAAAAAAAAATCAATCTTGAATGTGTTTGACAATGCAAGTGAGGTGATTAAAAGTGAATATTTTATCCGCTTGAATGCATCTTTAACTTGTTTAAGGTTTCTTTTGGGGCAAGGTTTGGCATTTCGTGGACATGATGAAAGCGGGGAGTCATATAATAGGGGTAATTTCCTTGAGCTTTTGAAATGGTTAGGAGAAAAGGTTGAGGAAGTAAGACAACATACTCTTGAAAAAGCACCTAAAAATTGTCAAATGATTTCCTCTTCTATTCAAAAGGACATTATTAATTGTTGTGCCAAAGAAACAACTAGGTGCATAATAGAAGAAGTTGGTGATGATTACTTTGCCATATTAGCCGATGAGTCAAGTGATGTGTCCCAAAAAGAACAACTAGCTCTTGTTTTGCGCTTTGTTAATAGAGATAGTGGAAAGGTAATGGAGCGATTTTTAGGCATTGTTCATGTTGGTAATACTACTGCTTTAACTCTTAAAGATGCAATCATGTCTTTACTTGTTGAACATTCATTGAGTCCATCTATGATAAGGGGGCAAGGGTACGATGGAGCTAGCAACATGAAAGGTGAAATAAATGGTCTTAAGACTTTGATTATGAATGATACTCCAAGTGCCTACTACGTACATTGTTTTTCTCATCAACTTCAACTAACACTAGTTGCCGTTGCTAAAAAGAATGATAGTTGTGGTTGGCTTTTTGAGATACTTGCAAATTTATTGAATGTGGTTGGAGTTTCTTGCAAGAGAAGAGAAATGATTCGACAAGATCAAGCTCAAGAAGTTGCTCGAGCATTGGATGTAGGGGATATTGTGAGTGGATCGGGTTTAAATCAAGAACTTGGTTTGAAAAGGCCCGGGGATACTCGTTGGAGTTCTTATTACATTATTACAAGTCTATTTCAAACATCATCCTCTTATTTCCTACAATTGTTAAGGTACTTGTACACATTGGGAAGCATGGTGTATCGGAAGATAAGTTCAAAGCTCAAATTGTTTTAGGACAATTAGAGTCATTTGACTTTGTTTTTATTGCTCACTTGATGTTGACTATTTTTGGTTACACTAATGATTTGTGTGTTGCTTTGCAAAGAAAGGAGCAAGATATTGTAAATGCCATGGAACTTGTCACTTACACAAAATTGGTGTTGCAAAAAATGAGGGAGCAAGGATGGGATACTCTCTTAAACAAGGTAACTTCATTTTGTGCTAAACATGGTATTGTTGTTCCCACTATGGATTCTCCTTATGTTCCTCAAGGAAGATCAAGACGTTTTGTTGAAGAAGCAACAAATGAACATCATTTTCGGGTTGGAATTTTTGTAAGAGTGATTGATTTGCATCTTCAAGAACTTGATGATCGATTTAATGAGAGGAATATGGAGATACTAATATGTATGGCTTGTTTAAGTCCTAAAGATAACTTCTCATCCTTTGATAAAGATAAGGTACTTAAACTTGCCTCTTTTTATCCCGAAGAATTTTCAAGCTTTGATTTGATGGCTCTTGAATGTCAACTTGATATATTCATGGAGAATATGCTAAATGACGATAGATTTCAAGGTTTAAATGACCTTAACTCTCTTTCTATGATGCTTGTTAAAACTAATAAGCATAAGACTTTTCCTCTTATTCATTTGCTTATCAAGTTGATGTTGATTCTTCCGGTTGCCACGGCAAGTGTTGAAAGAGTCTTTTCTGCAATGACATGTGTCAAAAATAAGTTGCGAAATAGCATGGGTGATCAACTTATGAATGATTGTTTGGTCACTTTTATTGAGAAGAATGTCTTCCTCAGAGTTTCCGATGAAAAAATTGTTGATCGCTTCCAAAATATGAAGACTCGAAGGATGAAAGTGTAATTTTAATGTAATGTTTATGTAATTTTTTTCATCATTTGAATTGTATGACTAAGTATGTTTTTTATTTTGAAATTTTAATATTAAGTATTAACTAATTTGTGTGTTTGAGTTTTTTTTTGTTTTTATTTTTTGTTAAGCTATTTGTAAGTTAAGCATTTTGTCCCCCCGAATTGAAAATCCTGGATCCGCCACTGACCATATTGGGAATAGCTCGGGTTGACATGTCAACCGGCAAATGGGGCCCTTTATATAATCGTGGATTTATGCACAAATTGAATGGCTCGCATGCACTGCTTAGATTCATTTTTGTGGTTCCAAAAGTGGAAAATCTGGTGAATAAAGCCAAAGCAAAATCTAAACCCCATTAGAAAAGAAGACTATACTACTTCCCATGATATGATCATCCACTAATACGCACATTTTAGCTTAAAGATGTTTTATATGTGGCCCGTAATGTTTAATGCCCCTTTTTTCTTAATATACTTTGTTTTGTACAAGTTTTTTTTTTAGAAGAATGTAAACTTTACATGCTTAAGTTTTCTTTTATAGAAGAATGTAAACTTTACATGCTTAAATGTAAGTTACCGACTATAGTATAATGAAAAGAGACTTGATTGCACTTCAATCATTGATTTACATTGTGAATGTATCAGGTATGTTACATCTTTCTTCCGTTTTTTTTAGTTACATAATTTTTTATAAATGAAAGTTTTAATTTTGTTGCATCACTTTCCCTTTTAAATTAGTTGCTAAATTCTCTCTATATCTATCACATTACATGGGCCCATTTTATTCCCTCTCTCTCTCTCTATTCCAAAAATTACCTGAGTCCGCAATAATAAAATTGATGCAACTAAAAAAAACAAAGCAAGTATATCAGGCTATGTTTGGCATTGTTTTTTATTTTATGTTTTCTGTTTTTTTGAAAACAAAAAACCAAAAACAGGAAATAGGAAAAAAAATGTTTCCACTTTTTTGTTGTCAGTTTTCAAAACTATCATGATTTTAATAAGTTTCACTAGTTTTTGGTTAATTATATGACATATATCATATGATTTTGTAAAACAAAAAAAATCAAAAAACAGAACACCACAACAATGCCAAACGAACCCTTAGTTGTTTTAGCCGGTGATGATTTAGTTGGGGTCTAATTATGTACTTAATGTGCACAATGTAAAACTTTAAATATGGATTGTGTATAGACTTACTATGTCGTAATCAACTAATCAAAATAAGGTTGTCCCAAGCCTTCACCATCTATCACAAATCAAATGTTATATGAAACCCTACATCATACTATTAGTCTGACCAAGTAAAAAAAAAATTCTCAATGTGCATGATTATTATAGTACCTATAAAATGATTTCAATCAACCCCAAATTGACAATTATTCACAAAACTGTACTTAATACTAATTTTTATTAATTAATCATGATTGTTGGAGTAGGTTAAAATGAATGGTGTACAGTCAATTCATTCCCCTACTCCCTCTAATAAAACCAAAGAAAAATCAGAAAATAGATACAAAAATAGTACTTCCTCTTTAGTCCTTTTTTGTTAGTGGTGGCCCACTTCTTCTAGGTCAAACCCCCCAATATATAAGGTCCAAAGTCTTGCTCACCAAAAATCCTCATTTGGGCCCCACTCCATGTTTCTTTTCTTCACATGCATTCATGCATGCATGCAAAGTTTCTTCTCCCATTCATCATATAATATATAGTTCATGAATGCATGCATGCATGCACATACATACATGAAGCATAACATAATTGCATTGAACATACATGAAATTTAAAATGGTAGGGCGGGAATGAATTTATAACCATATAATATACAAGTGTTTACTATTATATGATATAAATATGTCCCCGTTTTTTTGCAAGTATATAGGACTTAAGAGAAAGGCTCTAGTTCGAAAATAGACCGCCAAAAGGAGAGAATTGGACCGGAATAAGCTTAACGAGGACTACCAACGACGTCGACAAAGACTCTTGAGAGAGAGGGCAGCTGCAATGGCATGAGCTGTTCATGCACTCTACTCTTCTTCCTGCTCAACACTGGTGAGGAGGATACTGAAGAAGACAATGAAGACGATGACAATGACAACGAAGATGTAGATGATGATCCCATCATTTGAGTAGTCGTCGTGGCAGCCCATGAATCATTGGAGCTGTCACAGCTAAGATAGTATGCTTCCATTACTCCACTCGGGCTGCTTGGAATAACATCACTGCTTGAAGTAGGCTGTTGAGGTCCCGGAGGAGGGGGGGGAGGAGGATAGTTGTTTTTCGCCGTCATCATTTCGTCGAACGTTCTCTTTGCCTTACGATTGTCTTCGGTTTTGCTTCCGCATAATGATTTCTCCACGATCAGTTGATAACAATCATTCACCTTGTCCTGTAATAGTACGTTAAATATGAGAAGAAGCAAAGATAATGATAATCATACGGATTATTTATGGTACGCAGGCCAGGCTCTAAAGATTAAATAACTCTCAAAGAACCCCGTTATCATAAATGGAGATAAAATCTTCTATCCGACTTTTTGTGTATCATGTATACCCCGTACATGTTAGAACATTCTACCGCCTTTTGTATGTCAACTTACAGCACAAGTGTATAACTTAGCACCAAAAAATAATTCCAAGGAACATGTAGCATTGTTAGCACTATATTGAAATTATGAATTACTTATTATAGACCATATTCATTAAAAAAAAAAAAACAAGGAAAGAAAATTACTCCACTTTAGTCTAGTTTAATCATAATTTTGAATTTGGAAGTACCTCGAGAAATGATGAAATCACACTGTTTTAACTTGATTTATACACTAATACTCGACCACTAGGAATAAACAATGATCTTAAACCAATAATTTTCAAGCTTGAAAAAATTAAGAGTTTCAACGGAAGACTGGATCGCACTAAGCTCAAACAAATTATTAATATCGCTTATCGAAGAGACTTTAGTGATTAAAGTTTGATTAACTTAAGTAAGTTTTGTATACAAGCAATGTAAGATTTTAAGTAAAGAAAACAAAGGAGTTTCCCAATGTGATGGAACAAACAATTAACAACAGGGAAAGAAACACGATGCCTAGCTTCATAGAACTTTGTCTTGTCATTTCTATTCAACTAATGAAGGTACTTTTCGACAGAGTTTCCCTACATTACACCGTAGTTTGAACCTTTATTTTACGGGATGTAACAGTAATAAACAATATGCATATTTCCTTCGTTCTAAATTAATACGGTTTTTAACATAATTATTATTTATGGAAAATGTACTATTGATAGGTTCAAAATCCGGAGTACTATAGATATTAACCAAGTCTCACTTCCAAATTTGAATGCATTTTTAGCATAATGATAACAGTCACCTTGAAATAACACCCTAAAAGCTACGATTGATTTATAAACGAATTTAACTATTGCATGTATTTCTCAATGGGCATTTTTACGGTATTATACAAATATTATTAGTGTGTACTTGCGTTGGCCCTCGAGAGGAGGACATCCTTGTTCTTTTATTCATTTTCTATAAGCATTTTATATTAAATATAAGAGGCGGACTAAAATTTAAAGATAAGAGACAAAGGTAGAGAGGGGTTATTGACCAAGTGTACCAAAACATGTGATACATATAGCACATTGAAGACCTAAAGATTTTCGTGAGACAATATATCATTATTGTTTTTTTTTAATATAAAATGTACTACTCTTCAGGAATGAAGTACAGCACATTACTTAAAGAATTGTATTGACCAAACTACCCTTCCTTTCAAAAACCAAAACTGCCCTAAATATTTTGTGACAATGACACCTCATCCATATATCTTAGGACAAAAAGGTTATCATTTTCAAATGTGAATCAAAATTAATTCATAGATCTCTAAGGGATTAATTATGACCTACCCACAATATATAAAATGTGATCCCATTGACCTCTAATAAATTTAATTAGCATTCTTAATTAGATTAGATCTGATGAATTTTAATTAATAACAATTAGAGGAGATTATTTAAAATTAGGGACTAACCTTGCTGATATTAAGCACACCCAAAAGCTGATTTTGGTAATCAAGAGGGTTACATGGCTCAATCTGGTCAATGACATGCATCATTGTGGCAGTTGCCAATACTGATGGTAGATAATTCACAAATCTCCAATCTACATTTCATCATCAACCAACCAATCATCATTACCAATTTTCCAACCAAAAATATGAAACATTGAAAAATACATGTATATATTAAATGCTCCTAGTCCCTACATCTTAGATTAGTCATCACATGGATACTTTAATGTTAACTATTAACGTGATAACTAATATGGAGTACGGAGTATTGGATAGTGATGAATACGATCAGTCAGTGTACGTGTAATATACAATGAAAGGATATCTTGTTTGATATGTAAATTAAACAATAAGTGTGACAACTGACTAACTAGATAACGTATTAGTTTCCAAATTACGGAGTAGTCATTGTCAAATGATGTAATTAGAACTAATAATGTGACAAACACCAACACATTTTCAAGTAGGAGGGCATATTCCACATGATCTTATTCATGGACACCTATGTTATAACTTATGAGCATGTATGTAAAATTTACAGTTGTATTCATAAACAGAGCAAATAATAAAGTCAAGATTTACACATGTAGAAAGTCATACTATAATTAAATGCAGTAGAATAAAAACAAAATAAGTCTGAACTTTTTTATACTCAAAAAACTAAATAAATTCTAGAATAGGCGCATATTATGGTTGTACACTAGAAGTAGAAACTCAGAATAATAAATTACAAGAAACAAATTAAATACTTATTACGAGTAAATTTTTTTTATAATTTGTAAATACTAACTTGCATTATATTTTTCTACTCATATTATATGTCAAATATGAAAGGGAGGTAGTAATTATATTTTAATGTTAACTTACCAGAGAGGAGAGAGAGTAAGAGTCCTTGACATCTCCTGAGAAACTCCCAATGAAGATGATTCTTCAATCCTAGCCGTCTGATTATATGATCAAGAAACGAAAGTGGGGTCACTGGATTCATCTTCCAATCCAATGTCGACAACACTAACAACTCCATCTTCTGTATTGTCTTTGCATCAAACACATAGTTTCCTCCTTCCACCTTTAACAAAAACACGTCCCAATTTAGTCGTCACATTTAGTTTAGTTTACACTGACTATCAACGCGACTATTAAAAAATCCGAACATGGGTACGTAACAAGAAAAGAAAAGAGGACATACAAGAACTTGAAGATCAAGGAGAAGAGGAACATGGGTTTCTTCAACTTTAGCAGCAAGAGAAAGACAAGTAACAGCAGTAAGCTGAAACATCCAAGGTTTATCCTTTTGAAAACAGAAACTTGATAAAAATCTATCAAGATAATTTACAGCAAGAACAGAAGTTAAGGTGCAAAACCCATAATAGGAATTGACCTTTAAAATCCATTCAACAACTTCATTTCTCGAAGAAGAAAGAGTTTTAACATCAAATCCACCATTTTCGGACGAAAAAATAATCCCCTGTTTTTTTTCTTCCTCTTCTTTAGAAAACAGAGATCGGATTTCTTCATCTTCCCAGAACAAATCTTGTTCTAGTAAAAGAAGTGGAAGTAAAAAACCGCCATTGTTGTAATTGTTTGGTTTATCCCATTCTTCGTCTTCACCGTTGTTCGCTTCATCATCTTCCAATTTCTCTTCCTCGCAATACAGAGCGTCTAACAGAGAGAATGGGTTTTGTTGGAATTCATCCGAAGATGCCATTTTTTCTTTTTTTTTTGAAAATTTTCAACTTTAGATGAAAAAAATGGTTTTTTTTTTTTTTTTTTGTTTGGGTGGTTTACATAGTAGTTTTCATAATGGTGAGAGATTTAACAAATGATAAAGATAATCGTCATTGATAATAATAGCCTCTCTTGCTACTCAGAGAGTAGAGTAGAGAGGAGAGAGAAAATGGTGTGAAATTTTTAATGGAAGAAGTGAAGTGAAAGGGGAAGGGGGGAGAGGAAGGGGAGAGGGATGAGATTTATAATCTCAGAGAAGTAAGGAGATATCACGCTTGTCCTTTTTTATATGAGATGGGATTTTGAGGCAGATTTTTTTTTTTTTTTACTTGTTTTTTTTTAGTTGATTTTGGGGTTTAGTAAAAACAAAAGCTCTTGCTTTCGGTGGTAAGTATGTGTGAGAGTATGGTAGAGGGGAGTACTCCGTAGTATTATACGGAGTACTTACTAACTCAGTACATGGGGCTTGTTTAGTTCGCCTTATTTATACTTTGTATTTATGTAAACTGATTATCTGATTTAATCAAACTTTGATCTGATGTGTATGATAATTTATAAAGAAAAAATATATCAAGTAAATTCTTGTTAGATTCTTGATAATGTATATTTTATTAATTTGTAATTTTCATGATTTTACGTTACGAAATTAAAGATATTTAGCAATAATAAATTGCACATAAAACGATAAAGTGTCATAACTTATTTTTTCTGAAATAAGTAAAAATAAGGTGAAATAAAACATGACCACAGTTCACTTGGTTTTCCAGTCTTTGTTCAATTTACTTGACCCATAACTATAGGGTTGTGTATCCAGTACCAATTTAAACAAGATTTTGTTGTAAAGAGAGTATAATGAGTGTGTGATCACAACTTCACAAGTATGATCTGGATGAGTATAGTATAACGGGTATATAAAATGAATAACGTTTGCAAATAATTGTTAAATACCATAGACATAAATCTTATATTCATGTTTATAGATTATTGTACATGTAAAGTTAAAGAAGTAAGACAAACAAATTATATCAAATAAGCAAAATTATATCGTCGGATCAAATCAGACCAAATTAAACAAGCCCTAAGAGGAAAATGTGTGATATACCTTATTTATTAAAGGAAAATAAAGAATACTTTTTTTTTTCTCTAAAAATATATGGAATAATTATCGACTTATGGAAATACGTAGTATTGTTTTCTACCCCTTATCTATACAAACTAATGAAAATAGGGAATGAGGAAAGATCATTTTAAAAAAAATATATATATATTTTCCATCAAAATAAATAAATCATAAAACTCTAGGGAAAAATAAATAAATAAATAAATAAAGGTGCGAGCTATACTCTGTAATTTTTTTTTTTTTTTTTTTTTTTTTTTTATGAGAGAGAACGTATTTTGAATTTGAGAAATGTAAACAATTTTTGTGGGAAGGGGAAAAAAAAAAGGCACACAAAACGAAATGGACCCCCAATGAAAAGAACATGTAAGAGAAGAGGAAGACGACAAAGAGAATGCAACACTGCTCGAGAGATCAAACAAAGAGAACCCTTTGTTTGGTTCATTAGTATGTACAAACTACTCTTTATTTATTTTTTTGAAACACAAACCACTCTTTATTTAGACTAATACGAGTAACGTAAAAGATAATTGGACTATTATTAGGATTCAAATACTCGTGAGAGACTAGAGTAGAGTAGTGGGACTTCCTTTTGTTGTTTTTACTCTTCTGGAAATTTGAAGGAGCTCTACTTTTGTCAAATCTTGTATACTTGAATTCTTATTTTATTTGTAAATGTGTTGCGTGTTTTGTCATTAAACACTACACACAATCATATAAGCTAACTAGTCACTTAAAAGTAGAGGGGGTAAAGTACCCTTCTCACTTGGCAGGATTCGGATTCCAGATCTTTAGAATCTGGGGTAAGAAACTTACTAAGTGAGCTGAACAATGACATATATGATAAACTATAGGGTTATATAGTATTTAGAATTTGACTTGTACAAATTATCTAATTTCCCAATTATTTTGCCTCATGCCATTGTTTATCATGCGATGATGGAAAACATCATTGCATTCTTCTATTAATACTTCGTAATAGTTAGTTTGATTTATAATTCAATTTTAAACAATATAACTACGTTCTTCAATAAAAAAAAATTTAAAAAATAAATAATAAAAATAAATTCAATATAATTACATATCAAAAAACATTCTTGATTAGCAAAATTCAATATTGATAGTAAAAATTAGTTTTCCATCAATAAAAAGGAATTCACCTCAACAAAAGTCAATCTTCACTAGTAAAAAATAGCATAGCCTTGTTTAGTTTAGTTAGTAAAATTGATAATCTTGCCTTTTGCGACTTAACCCAAAAAACTTAACTTTCACATATCTTAATGACCTAGCAATAGATATATTCTTTCAATAAAAAATTACGTAAAAACACACTAAAATATCTACGTTGAACTCATTTTTACCAAGTATTCGAGATTTGAAATTGAAAACCGCTTGTAATTTTGTAAATAAGAGGTCGAATCTCATAACTATCGGCAACTAAAATCATCATTATCCATCCTTTCCTCATCAATACATCCTAAGAATAGTTTCTCTCTTTCTTTGGTAATCAAAAATAGGTTACTATCACCAATTCACACCCTGTCAATTCCCTTCTAGCGTGGGAACTCCATCATTACTTGCATTCCAAAACATTAACACAATGTACATTTTATATTACCAATCATTAAATATAAGCCAAAGGGTAATTCCTTATTTTTATTAAAAGTACAAACACACGAAAATTGTTCATTGTTTTTGCAGCACTTCCTTCTGACAGACAAACTAAAAAGCAACTCAAACCTAAAGGACTCGATCATCAATAAAAATTACTATTCCAAGGTCAATCTATAGTTGACTGATATAAAATTAGTTTTAATTATACCAATTTTGTCCTCAATAATCATGATGTTACATTTTCCAAAAGCACTCCCTAAAAAAATTATTATTCTTAAAGTAAAAATTAAAATTATAAAAACTTTAAATAAAGAGACACCGTGATACTATGGGACTACGTATTTCAATGCATTTTTTTTGCTCTTTTTACTTTGGTCCTCTCTTGGGTAAATTAAAAAAATTAATTAATTATTATTATTTTTATATATAAAGGAGGTCTAAAAAATTATACTCCTAAATAGAGATAAGGTAAAAAAAAAAAAAAAAAAAAAAAAGCATATAAAAGATAAATAAAGGGAATAAATAAAGAAAAAAAAGTGATTTAATAAATATTAAAAATCACGAGAGAATTATGAAGTACAGTTTAGGATGACAGTTGTAATCCTCAAAATATATTAATACAAATGAGGAAATAATATAAGGAGGGGATGAAATAAATTAAAAAATTAAAAAACAAAATGAAGCGAAAATTGACGAATGAGAAGCCATACCCTGGTAAAAGAGCACGCTCCTGTAAATGCAATAGGGAAAATAGGCATGTCGATTGGGAAGGAGCAATATAGCTTTAGACGTAAGACGTTGCCCTCTAGTTCTAGCTTTATGGGTTTTGTTATGTATTTCAAGTACCACGTACTTTTTTTCCCACAATGTTATCATGGTACATTTGGTACCTTTGTTTCATAAAATTTGCGACCATAGGCTGTTTACATATTTCTAATTTTGTACTTGTATGTAACCGTTATTATTGTTTTGCCTTGCTTTGATCAAGTATGATAATTTGTCACAATATTGTTACTTTCATTTAGAAACTACTCCTTTAACCATTAAAATTAAGACACTATGCAATGTTAATTAAGTTATTTAAATATTTTATTTTACTTGATTTACATGTTCCAACATTTTCAAAGCTTGCACGAGTTTTCATTTAGGACCAAAAACAAAAGAAGACAAAACAAGTACTTCTCCACAAGACCACAACTCATATTAAATAACCGAGTGTTACAGTTGAACATTACACACCCATGCCTAACACGACTACCCGAGTCCGAGCAATGGTACAAGGTGATGCAATGCATTGTAATCCGGTGCGTTATAAGCACAATCCATAGAAGCAAGTGAATTCCTTGAGGGAGAGAAGTAGAAAGTCATAATTAATGGTGTCTTGTTATAACAGAAGAGAGAGGAAAGAGAAGATTGCAGGAAAACAGCTAGCCAAAAAGAAGGTACGCTACTATTGACGTGCACCAAAGTTATGATAAAACAAACCAATGACACTTCAATTTTTAATTTTACCCCTTTGCACTGTCACTAGTGTAACAATTTTATTTTGGAATTTTTTACAATTCTATCTTAATTTATTTTTGTCCTCAAATTTTTAACCCTATTCTAAAATTGCATGGACCTACATGCAAATTTTTTTTGGTACGTCATAAATGTCATGCAACTATATTACGGGGTTATGTATGTTCCTAAAGTATATATGAATATGACAAATATAGTATATGGTATAAATGCGTAGGCAATTCGAAGAGTATATACTAGCATCAATATTTTATGTGTGTTTGGAATTATGTGTTTTTTTTATTAGCAAAATTAAATAGAAAACGTACGTCTAGTTTGTTGGTGTTTTACGCTGATAGCATGCATTAATCAAACATATTTGTCCCTCTTGCACTGACAACTGACTCACTGACAAGTAAAAGAGTATGTATGCATGTTGGAGTATGTATAGATACTTCACTGGTAATTTAGTATTGCCGTAAATCTTAATCTGACTAAATCAATTTTTAATTTAACTTTTTTAAGATTTGTGTATTTTAAAAAATACTCTCTCCGTTTTTAAATGCTTGTTCAATTTCTCTACGTACGGAGTTTTAGGAAAAATTGGAGAAAGTAATAAAATATGAAGGTAGTGGGGTGGGTGGAAGAATAAAAATTGTAAAAAACAAAATTAATTGAGAAAATTGGAGGAGAGAGAATATGAAATTAATAAAATATGATTATGTTGGATCCACTAGTTGAGATGAATGAATTAAATATTATTAAATCTTTCCAAATAAGAAAATGGTAAGAAAATAGAGCAAGAATTTAAAAACGGTCGAAAATAAAAAATGGAACAAGTATTAAAAAACAGAGGGAGTACAAAGTATCAAATTACATAGAAAAAATTACTCTAGTATTTGTTTGCAGGACTCTATACGAACTCTTTGGATGAAAGCTATTAAAGTGGTCGTGATCTATTAAAAAAAATAAAGGTTATTACGTTGATTAACTTGCAAGTTGTACGTCATGGTAGTTTTTTGACAATTTTATTTAATTATACAGTAATCAATTAAGTTATGCTTAAACGATATACCTTGTTGGTTAATAAATAGAGGTATAACATAAAAATCAAGTCAAGACATAGACTATGTTCATTCATATGATTAATATTCAAATTTTTTGCTTAAATAGACTAGCTCGTAGTCTCTTTGACTTCAATCTATCTTTCCAAATTATATATGTACGACTTTTGTCATGTGAGAATGAAAATCATAA